GAACATTATTAAAACAGCAAGAATATGGTTTCTTCTAAAACTGACCGCGTGAGAAAACTGTCCTTGATTTTAAAGAGATTCATTATATAAATCAAAGTTGGTGCTTACTGATATAAGTCATGTATTCAGGAAAACTAAAAATACTGATCCTTGCTTTCTGTGAATCATATTTGCCGAATCAGAATCAAATTAGAGACGAGATATGCACAGCATCATCCTCACTCACACTTATGGCCTTTGTGCAAAACAACAATGATACTCCCACTTTTTGGTTCCATTAATAAATAATAGATATCACTTGATTATTGGCTTATTTTAATCGTAAAAGGATCTAAGATGGCAATGGAGAATCATTTATAACAGGGCTCAGCACCCTACAGCATGTGTGTCACAAGTGGCATGCCAAGGAATTTCCAATGGCACTCAACCGCAAATGACATCACGAAGTCCAAACCAATAAATACTACAATGCAAAGAAGATATTTAGCTGTTTCAATTTTAATATATACTAAAGTATATATACTATATATTACTATACAAAATATATTGTAGAACAGGTATATTGACCTTGACTTGTATAAAAATATGTATGCTGTTGGCACACTAAATGATTTTAAAACCCTAAGTTGGCACATAGGTAACAAAAGGTTGCTGACCCCTGGTATATGGTGTTTTCATTTGAAATCTAGATCAAGTCTCTTCAAGTTCACACATAAATACCCATGGCCATTTTTTTTCTTTATTGAAACAATTGACGTACACCAGTTTGTAGATTGGGTGACTTTTTCTATCATATCATTACTGTAATGTTTGAGTTCAGCTTTTACCTTTTGTAAAATTGGAAATAGTGTCCATCTTGCTGCTGTAAGACAGTACGGCTTGGTATTGTCTTTCCGACAATTTTAATTTGAAAAATTTGAAGTATAGTATAACAGTGCCATGCTGACCACTGATGGATTCAAAATTTGAAAGGCTCACTCAGGTGGTTGTAGTTTGAAAATTTTCTTTTCTTTTATCTTTGACTGGTAGTAAAATTTTTACTTTTTCAGAACCTCAGGTTGTCAGAAGTAACTAACACTTCTGACTCCATGTTTTTTATAACTAGGGTGGGTTCATAATGGCTTCAGTAAAAATAACACTGACAAGACATGTGACTCGTTTTTACTATTTTATTATTTGAACTCTCTAAAAGAGGAAACGTTAATTGATTAAATAACAACAAAAGAAAGCAGACAACCTAATTCCCTTCTAAACACAAACACCATAAAAAATATTTACTTGCATTATTTACATTATTTGGACTGTTATCCTCATCTTCATTGCCATATTCACAACATTTTGGCCGTTGTACACTTCAGCCTTCTTCAGGTGATTGGAATTTCGAACCAAACCCTTTATTTTGTCCACCAGGTTAGGTTGTTCTAGTTCCACATGCCATGCCTCTTCCAAAAACACTTCGCAGACACCTATTCTGAGTAAGACCCCCCCATAGAGGAGAACATGACTAAGGCAAGACTACAAGGGCATCATAAAGTGGTAACACAAGGGGAAATAGGAAAATCAGGCATAGCTGACCACATATGGGGAGAAAAGGGAGATCACCCTCACCCCCGTGGGACGAGGTTGAAATAATAGATAGATAGCATCACTGAAAAATATGAAAACTTAAGGAATCAGCATATATGCTAGGTCACAAAAATATCCTGAGCTGACCAAGTATAGAGATAAATACAATATGGGAACCAGTAATAAGGAGTGCTAGAGAAAAGCAATGAATAACAGCATAAATGGCAATATGAGCTCTGGTAAAAAAAATTATGGAATAATAATAATAATAATAACAGAAAAATTGCAATATGATTACTGGTAAAAAATGGTTGCTGAGACATTAGGTTTATAAGTCCCAGAAATTCATACGCAGATGTCCTCAAGGGCACATGGCCCAGTGGATAAAGACATTGATTAGATCCAGTGACTAGACACAAAGAGTTGAGTCCACAGCAATGGTGAACCAAAAACTTGGAGAGTTGAGTTAAAGGGAAATAATTGAGACATCCAGAAGAGGCATGGCATGTGGAACTAGAACCGTCTACCCGGTGGACGAAATAAAGGGTTTGAAATTCCAATCACCTGAAGAAGGCCGGAGTGGACAATGGCCGAAACATTGTGAATATGGCAATGAAGATGAGGATAACAGTCCGAATAATGTAAATAATGCAAGTAATCATAATACCTCATCTCAGAGATATAGAGGCCGAAACATTGTGAATATGGCAATGTAGATGAGGATAACAGTAGTGACAGTGAGTAATGAAAATAATGCAAGTAATCATAATACCTCATCTCAGAGATAGAGACAAAAAAAATTTCTATGGTTTATATTGAATGGAGATTTACACTTCAAAACAAATAACATTTCTACACAAATTATTGCATGTGCAATCATAATTATTAAATTTTAAATAATTATAATTTAAAAATAGATTTAAAATGATTTAAAAATATCAGCTATTTATAGCAATTTACCATGATTAGCAGCATGCAATATATGCATATTAAAATTTTGGAATGATAATTTAATGATGAAATTCAAATTTGGAAGGTAGAATTTTAGGGAGAAAAAGAAAGTGTGAGATATTTCTACTGCAGCAAAAAACTTGTATGTTTAGTAAGTTTACTCAACGGATATTGAAGCTTTAAACAGGAATTCCAAGCTTTCATATTCTAAAAACATCCAATAATTTTTTTCGGAAATCATAAGTAGTTATTTTTTTATGGCTAAAGCAAAAATGTTTTGGGGAAAATGTCAGAGAGCTAAAAAAATATTTTTAAGAAATTCTTCCGATCCCGGGATCCCCCAACTTTTTTAAAAAAATAACGATGTGTAAAAAAAAAAAAATACTGCTATGTAACAATCGAAATTGAATTTTTTTTTAAAACTTTTGAGATAATAAATAGGTGTACGAATTTTTGCTTTTATTTTGACAAAGCCTAGTTAAACCACTTTTATTTCTTAACCAATTTTGTGAAATTGTGTTTAAAAAAATTACAATAAAGAAAAATACCATTTCAAAAAACAAAGTGAACAAACACAAGCATTACTACACATTACTAAAAATTCAAACACAAATTGTGTAAATGTGCATAATAATCAATTGATTCGTGAATAATTCAAAGAAAGAAATCTACTCTTATTGTTGGAGTACACATGGAACAATCCGAAAAGAGTAAGACTCTTGCAAAAAGACTGAATAAAAGTGGAAATCTGAAGAATTAAAAAAAAAAAAAAACTAACAACATATTTTTAATCAACAAAAACAACGAAGAAAATTCCGAAATTGAGGAGATCTGAAGTTTTAGTTGATTTCTAACCCTAACCCCCAGAAACCTAGTGCTGTGCAAAGAACCCAAATCGTTTTAAAAAAGTGAGGTTTTAAAAACATAGTTCAAGCCATCTAGACGTGTCGCCACCAACAACATCACCCACCAGTGGGTCTACTTGACGAACGAAAGCTAAACGTGGTCGAAAAGGATTCGTTTAACAATGAAAACAAAAATAAATCTTTCACCCTTCAATATCTAAAATCCCAAAGAAATTTTACCTTAATTCATTTTCTAGTGATTATTTATGAAACAATTTTTTTGATAAGGTATAAAAATAAATAAAATTATTTGTATTAAAAATTTAAACTCGAATTTTCCCAGTGCACCCAAGAAAAAGAAAGTAGCTAAAAAAAAACAAAAAAAAAAAACTAATAAAATAAAAAAAGTAAAAAATAAAAAATGGATCAGTTGTTTGTCTCTTTTTTGAGATTCGTAATAACTTTTAGGGTTTGAGACACTAATTCTGTGATTAAGCTTTTTAGTAAGTAAATAAAAAAAAATTCATGCATTATAAAGGAAAAAAAAAACTAGAGAAAAAGGTAACTCATATTGGATTTATTTTTGTTAACAAACACGATTCTTGTTCCCGTATTATTCACAAGAGCACCAATTTAATTTTGTCAAATTACAATACATTCAGTTACATAGACTAGAGAGAGTAGTTAAGCATTTCAGTAGGTATTTTCCACTTATTACCATTCAAAATTGCTCCAGATTTTATTTTTTTGCAAATTTCACACAAAACGAAATTTACAAAATATATAATAATAATACACACTTTGCAAGAAGGACGGGCGTGTCTTGAAAAAGTTGTGGATGATGTTTTTAATAAATTTGAACAAACTTTGTTATTCTATTGACAGTTTTGATTTTATTCTTTTATTCAATTTTTTCGATGGAAATCAGCTGATCTTACATTGAATTTTTTTACACAACAGTACCAGTTTTTGAAAAATACATAGTTAAACTCAATCAATCAGTTAACTAAGCCCAGGTGTGTGTGCTGTTACTAGTACTTTACTTTTAAATTTATAATAAGTAAGATTTAACTGTAATTGTCTTTTCAAGTTATTCTGTGGCACCATGGGACTACATTGAATTCGATTACTATTGTTAAAATCCGCGAATAATACAAAAATTTTCTTTTGTTTACGCTGGAAATTACATTATACATGTTTGGCGTTCTGTTCACGTGATGTCAGCTCGCGGGAAATATGATTTCGCGCCATTTCAAACCAAGCTTTGTTGGCGGTCGGTTTGGTTGGCTGTCTTTCTCCTCTGGGGAAGGGTGACAAAATATCGTCAACCATCCGCTATCAAGACTGTTCGAAATCCGCTGAAAATTCATTGAATCTCAGACATCTTGCATTGTGCATTGTACTGCTTGCATTTTAAAATCATTATAGTGGTTCACAGTCATTTTAAAAAGTTTATTTCTATTGGGATTGAAAAAAAAAATCATAACAAACCCACCCCAGAGGAAGAACAGACAGACACTCCCATTACCAGATTTGCTTCTGTAGAGAAAAATGCCCCGTGGATCGACTGTGTCTAAAGCACGTCTTTATTCACAGAAAAGAGACACAACATATATTAAGCAAGAATCACCTCAAATCATGAACTTAACGAGTATTTATCGCCAGCCAACTCTCCAGACACTGACAACCATGACTGGTGTGGGTACAAGTAAAGACTTTTTTTGTCACCAGTTCGAACAAACACCGATCACATTAGAGGGACACACGCCAAATGCAAATACAGCTTCAACACTATTCCCTGATTTTATCGACACTAAGCCAATCTTAAGTAAACCTCAGGTAAATACCTAATTTCTATTGTACTAAATTGGAGCTGTGTGTTTTAAGCTAGAGATTTTTCTCAGCATTATTTCTTTAAGACTTAAAAACTACAAAAACAAACTATTGACTTTAGGGGATTGCATTTTTCCAGGAGGTACTGTTTTTTTTTTTTTTTTGTTTTTTTTTTATGCTTTTCAGCAAATGTTGAGATTCCGTCCTCTTTGTCGTTATTCATCGCTACACGCCGATAACGATCATTGTTTCAAACTTTCTTAGCTTCGTCCAAATTGTCATCGAAAGTTACTTTTTTTTTTTCTTCATCAGATTTTCTTGCACAACTTTTTTTTTTTATATTTGAGATTTCCCAATTTTCAATCACCAGACGTCAAGCAGTAACTCTGTAATTTCACTTTTTTCCTTATTGTTTTTAAAGTATAATAATCTTAAAAATTCCCTAACAGTTTCTTCCCTTCAAAAATGTGTTAAAGAGGGTTTTGCAGTTTGGAAAAGCCGATTGAGTGTTGCTCACATAACCTCTATATTGCACATTATTGGTATTAGTCGTAAAATGATAGCTAAAGTCTATAAAAGATCAATTTTTAAATAAGTCTGTCTTGAAAAAGTTTCCTTTCAAGGGGAACGTGTTACCTATTTTCCCGTACTTTTTTGTGTTCATTGTCTATCATGGCTGCCACCACGATAGTCAACATTTTTTTAAGTTGACTAAAAAAAAAGTAGTACACTATTTCTTTTTAATTCTTTCGCCCAAATACTTCTTAACCTTTACTTTTTTTAGGATTCTAGTTATCGAAATGTTCTGATCACTCTATTTTTATTGCACTTTCTTTGTATTTTCTCTTCAAAACCACAAATCGAATACTTTGTTATGCTGCAATGTGAACATATGTAAAAAAAAAAAAATTAAAAAAAAAAATATATATATATATATATAATCTTTCGTGAAGAGTTTATATTTTTTTTTTATTAGTAAGATAAATGTCTTGATATGCCAACCTAAACTTTTTCTTTTCTTCGTTATACTAAGAAATCTATTGAACCATTTTTTTTATTAGGTCAGTCTCTTAAAGTAATTTTAACTTCCTTAATACAACGTAACTTTTTTTTTAATTAGCATTCTCCTTGTCTGTTTATGAATAAAAAATTAAAAAAAAAACTGAATGAAACGTAATTAGCCTGAACTAATGTTTCATAACTTTTATGAATTTAGTTTTAAAATGCTTTTTAGCTTTACTTTGATTTCAAGATTTTTTTTTTCTTTTAATTTTATTTTGGTTTTAAAATGATTGGTTTGAGAATGTAAATATCGAAAATAGGCCTTTTTTTTTTTTTTTTTTTTTTTTTTTTTAATTATAAAAAATATTTTAAATGTTGTGTGGGAATATTTTGGCATATGTAACCTAAATGTTTTACACCCAATGCTTTTTATTTCACTTTTTCTTTTTTCTTTAAATGCTTTTTAATTATTTTTCAGTTTTTACCACAAAAATGTATTATCCCGAATGACAATATTTTAATTGCATTTATTTATTCCCCCTCCCTACATAATTGAGATACCGTACGAAATGAAAAAGAAACAAGTTACATTTCTTTAGTTTTTTTTTTTAAGTTTGCGGAATTAGGCTTTCGCTTATATGTATGGGTTCTTTATAGAACTTCGGATCGTTATCTACATTGAATGAATAACTAAAAGCAACTTAGTTATTTCTCGATGCATAGTCAAATGAATGTTTAACGATCATCATATATCAAATTGTTTGGCTACTAAACTTATTTCAAAATAACACTGCTTTTTTTGGTGATAAAAATTTTCTTAAAAGTAAAGAGATTCATCAGTCTTTCACTAACACTACTAGTATTCTGGAAAATTTTAAATATATTGATCAGTAATAACTTTTAAAGATTGTTTAACCATTGATAAAAATAAAATTTCTGTAAACTTTAATTTAAAAAAAAAAATGTTAATTGCTGTATTTTGTAAAAATAGTTCTTTCAAAATGTCTCGTATTTTTGACTCTTCAATTTTTTTTCAGTGTTTAATTAACTGAAACGTACAAGCAGTTTTTGGATCATTTACTTAAATAAAACTAACAATCACAGATCCAAGTATAACCATCAAGTTACTGTTACTTGATTAGTAATTGAGATTATTTTATTTTTAAACTATCTTGCATTTTCTTCAGGATAGAATGTCCGGCTGATTCACTTTTTAGAATTTTATCCACGTATTAAAATTGTCTTAAAGAATAATTTTGTAATTAGTGCGTGCTTAACTTTTATTTTCAAATGGAAGCTAATTAAAGTTGGCTTCTGCAACAAGTGGCAGCTTTTTTTTACACTCCAAGATTGGTTCTTTTTCGGGATTTTTGCATCAAAATACTTCTAACAAAAGATACTTATTTCATTGCAGTTTTATTTTACGAATGAATTGTAGCTTACAAAACAGATTTCAGAGGATTAAGTTTGCCTCATCTAGAAATCTTTGACTTGAATGGAGCCGTACGTACGTTCATAAAAAAAACTGAATGAAACTTGTGAAACTGGAAGCCTGTCATTGTGACCTTGCTAAGATGAAACTAAGTAATATTAAAATAAAAAGTGTAATACTTAGTTTAACACTTTCATTCTTTCACATTTCAAAACTGAGGCGTTGCATTTTTTTTTTTTTTTTTTTTTTTTTTTTTTAGTATAATTAACTACTGTGTAACTAAAACTAGTGTAAAACTAAAACATCTACTCTTAGTTTTCTTTTTACTCACTTTGGTTTTCGTCTTTTTCATTACGTATTTTTTGTGATATTTTTTTTTTCTCCTTAAGTAACTGAAGTTACCTATTTGGAGAATATCAAGACTTTTAGTTTGAGTATATACAATAATTTAATTATGAATAATTTGAATTAGTAGTTTTATAAGCCAATTATTTTTTTTCTGACTTAGAGCAATAAATCATCTTTTTTCTGGCAGATTGTGATTTTTTTTTTTTTTTTTTTTTTTTTTTCTAGTAAAAAGATCTTTTGAGGGGACACTTCATCAAACTTAAATTTATTAAATATTATAATTTAACTTTTTATGGTCATTGTTTAAAAGATTACTTCATCCTGTTGGGTGATGACCTATTAATATTCGCTATTACTACGGGATTTGCATTTCATTTATTTACATGTCATGGTCTGTTTTTCTTTCCCTTTTTGCTTTCTTTTTCTTTTCTTTTTTTTAAATAGGGAAATAATTATTAATCCAAAATCCTTGTCTTGTCTTCTAAACAATACACGAGAAGTGTTGTTTGCTATGCGTAGGTTAGTTTTTTGGCACAAAAATACCCTGTGTAGTGTATCGTGCTCAGTACCAAGAGCAGCTTACTGACAATTGCTCCAAGCAGGAAGCATCTTTCGGGATATGCAGTTTGTGTAAAATGCGAGTAAATGATGGCAATATGTGAAATTTAACAATTGCTATTTATAATTTATAAAAGTGGGAAATGCAAACTTGCTGCATGTGCTGATTTTAAAACTTATTTCCAAACTTGTTTATTGCATTGATGGGGGGGGGATAAAAAGGGAGATAACTTAAGTCTACTTTTTTTAATTGCCGCTTTTTGTTGTCTCTTAAATGTCAATTTGATGTAATATTATTTCAGATTCATGTTATTTTTCTGTTGCCTGAAAGCTTACGATTGCTTTGTTTTGATCTTCAGTTTTAACTTTATTTAAAAAAAAACAAAGGGAAAATATTTACAATATATTTTAAATTTTTATATAATATCAGTTATCAAATATCAGTTTTTCTCTTCTTTAGGCTAAACGAAAACTGGAGTTAGATGTAATTACAGAAGAACTTAGGAGTCCAAAAAGGAGTCGTAAAACAAAAACTCTCTCAGATTGCAGTCCTAAAGGTTAGTAAGCTAATTGTTAAATTTGTAATGCATTTTATTCATTTCATTCCACAATTAATGCTGAAATTGACTAAAAACCTATAAGGATTTTTTTTTTTTTTTTTGCTTTCATATATTCCTGGAATTTTTCCCTTTGTAGTACATTTCTGAAATTGTAAATGAATTTTAAATTTATCATTCACAGCTGTTTGAGAGTTCCTATAGCGCGACCCCCTCCCCCCCCAAATCTTATAAAAAGTCAATTCAGGTCTGCTATGGTAAACATTTTTCTATCAAGTAAAAAAATCATCTCAAATAGCAAAAGACGTTTTGTTAAATCCTATTTTCTGGGGGGGGGGGTAAAAGCTTTCTTGTTCCATAGTAAAATATAGAAAAATGACTTTTCTCATCTGAACACCATGAAACTAGATATTTTTTTTGAAAGCAAACGATATGGGTTTGAAGGAAAACAAAATTCCTAGGGGGTCAACGAAAATGTGACAATGTTGGAAATTTTCAATTATATGGCCACTAGGGGTAAAAAAAAAAAGACATTTGTTTTAACACCTTGTAACCCGGGTGATGACAAAAATACTTAGCAGACGACTTTTTTCTTTTTTTATTTACTTATTGAAGTTTGAGAAATTCTTTTCATTAAAAAATGTGATTTTTCTCAGAAAATTGGCCATAATCTCTTAATGTTAACCCCCAAGTGACAACATGACTCAAACAGCTAGAAGGTAACTGATTGATTGATAACTTGTTGCACATAATTGTTCTCCAGTCAGTTTTCATTGTTTCATCTTGATGTCATCCTTGAGCAGTCATCAAGGGTTCAGGAAAACAGTTTGGCACAGGTCTGCTTTGAAAACTTTACATTCTATGAGGGGTTTAATATTACTGACAAATAGGAATTTTTCCCAAATATTTTATTCAAGTGTTATGTTTGAGTTTCCTATATGACAAAATCAAGTGTTTTAAACAGCTGTGGTATATCTCATAGATTTTGATTCTTTTCAGTGAGCAGATCCCCTGGAGAAAAAACCAGATATGATACATCTCTTGGTTTACTGACAAAGAAATTTGTTGGCCTATTGAGGAATGCCCCTGATGGTGTAAGTTTTTTTTTTTTTTTTTAAACTATATTTTGTGAGAAAAATTTCAATTTTCATACAGAATTTCTAAATTTCTCTTGAGTATAAAATAATTGGTAAATACTGAATTCCAAAGTGATACTGATTCTTTTCTGGGAGTGAAAAAAATTCTTTTTAACAAGCTAAAACAAACATTGACTGTTGGCACAAATGCAGCATGTCTTAAACTCAGTTTATTGCTCTCTACTTTTTGTTTGAATATAAAATAATTAAATGATTGGTAAACTTTTTTTCTTTGTTTCTTTAAGCACCTCTCATAAGTATTAAATGACTTCAAAGCATCCATTTTTATAACTGTTTTGATTTTGTTTATTTTATTTATTTTTTCTTTGTTTCTAGGTTGTAGACTTAAACAAGGCTGCAGTATCATTGGAGGTGCAGAAACGAAGAATTTATGATATCACCAATGTTTTAGAAGGGATCAATCTCATATCAAAAAAATCTAAAAACCATATACAATGGAAGTAAGTTCATTTTTCAGTTGCAAAAAAAAAAAAATCTTCAACACTTGAATTGAGACCTGTTTGAATATTTTCATGTGCAATTTGAAGTAAAAGAAAAAATGTAATTATCTGAAATTGTAAAATCTTAATTTTTTTTTCTTTCTTTCTTTCCAGAGGTTGTACATCCTCTATTGCTGCCAACCCGGTCTCTCAACATTTAACATCAAAACTCACAGATTTACAATTTGGTAAATTTTTATAATACTAGAATTTTATGAAATAAGTTTTAATAGTAAACAATGTTGTTTGAGTTTTATATTCATAACTTGTAAGAAAAAGTAATCTCTAAACTGTCAATGAAGTCTGTTCTCAAATTTTTTTGTTTCCAATATTTGAATTTTTTTTTTTTTTTTTTTTTTAAAGAAATGGCTGATTATGAATCCAAAGAAAACTTGATGGATGAATTGATTGAGACTTGTTCAAAACAATTAAAAATGCTGACAGAAGATCCAGAAAAATCAAAATATCCTTTTTGTTACCATTTGCAGTTGGTACTTTAAGAAAAGTACCTCCCCTCCAAAAATATGATACTGAAGTTTAAAATGCATATATATATATACCCAAGTAAGAGAAAAAAAAACAGATTGGGTAAAAATCCACAGTTCGTAGCATTGACTTTTTTTTTTTTTTTTTTTTTTTTAATTGCTCAATACAAAGTAGAGCAAAATATTATATTTTTATTATAAGATATTATATTAAAAACATTACATTGCTGCACAAAATCTTTCATGTTTCAATACTATGATTGTACTTCCTCAGACAATAGTTGGTAATTTGTGATAAAATTTCCCTAATAAATCTTATCACAAGTTACCAGCCATCACCTGTGGAAGTACAGTCATAGTATTGGAACAAGAAAGCTTTTGTGTAGTTATGTAAAATGTTTTTATAATCTCTTGTGAAAAATTTTGGGGGTGACTGTAGGATTGCAGCTCTGATTGAGGAATCAGAGCCGAGTTTAAATTCCAGTTGGATCCATTGCATTCATTTACATGCTAATACCCTTGAGAAAGATATGAATCATATATTTCTGTGTTTTGGAACTTTAATTTGTCCCCTTATCAAGCAATGTTGAGTAACTTTTTCCCAAAATAAAAGTTACCAACATTATTTGTTGGTGGAGCAAATTTAAAGTTCCAAAACAGAAATTCCCATGTTGCGATGTAAAATAGTTTTTAAATAAAAAATATTAAAATATACTCTGTTGTATCCAGCACTTTTTAAAAAAATAAATTCTAAAGAACTGGATTCTTAATCTGACTGTTCTTTCTCTTTATTTGGATATGTTTAAAAAATATAGCACTCTTGTTGTAGGATCTCTTGAATGAAAATGGCTTTTGCATTATTAAATTGTTTATACACCTGAAATTCCTCTTCATCCACTAAGCTGAAAATAAATTTTTTTACATCAACTTGTTCAATTTTCTTTATATATAAATAAAATTTGTCAACAGAACATTTGAAAGCTTATAATTAGATAATTTATAAGAAACCATTGGAAAATTCAAAATATTAACTTTATTTCTTTTTTAATGCTTAAAGTTTTTTGAATTTTCAGAAGTTGAAGGCAAATTATTATTCTTAGTACCATTTTATTAAAAAAAAAAAAAATTATCTTTAACTCACTCGTACATATGCTTATGTCACTTACCATGACATTAGAAGTATAGAATCATTAGATGATCAAACAGTTATGGCTGTAAAAGCCCCTCCAGAAACACGTCTTGAGGTTCCAGATATGTCAAAGGTATGTTAACATTAACTCATCAGATTTTCTTTTTGATAGTTTTGTGTTAAATATTTTTAATACATTTGAAAATGCTTTTTATTTGTATAAAAGATTAACAAATCTGAGAACAAGGTAAGGTAATAGTCTTGTGTTGTGTTTAATAATGAAAATGTAGTTACATCTGCTCTATGGCCTTGGCTCAGTTTGAGTCAGGCAAAAGGCCAATATTTGTCTGGTAGATAAGAAATTAAGACCATTGTTATTTAAGGGGTATTGAAAAAGAAAAAAAATTTCTCTATCAAAGAAAAAATGTGAAAAATATTGTTAATCCTACAATTGGATTTAAAAGCAAATCTCCATAGTCTATCTATATATAAATTTGAATTTGTTGGAATTTCTGGGATGAGTTATTTGCCAACTTTGTGATGGCATCAAAATGAATACTATAGTCTGCATGTAAATAATGAAATATCCTATTAAAAAAAAAAATAATTCTTGTTAGAATTGTGTGAATCTGCAACAGTTCCAATCTCAAACATTTCTCATCAATTTATACAGAATATCCAAATTTGGTTAAAAAGCAACAGCCAGGCTATTGAGGTCTATTTGTGTCCTGATGATATAAAAAAAGAACCTGAAGATAATATTGCTAATGAAGCAAGCAGTAGCAGTGCCAGTGATGAGCATTTGTCTGAAGATTCCACATCCTGTGATAGCTTTAAAAGTAAGTTGCTCATATTATGTCCAAATGTGTTTGTGTCTGATTTGCATATGTACTGAATTGAAAAGTGTACTTTTTTTTTTTTTTTTTTTTTTTTTTTTTTTTAAATTTACTTTTCATTGTCATGATAAAACCAAACTTTTCCATAACAAAAAAAAAAAAAAAAACCTTTTAAAAAGCTGTGTTAATGCTATTTCTATGAAACTGGTTATTTTGCATTGTAAATATTAGTAATTGATAAAAAATATAACCTTATCAAATGAATCCTGAAGAGAAAAAGGGGTGGGCGATGAAATACAAGACCTGTCTACAGTTGTGGATATGTGTACAATACATATATCCACTACTGTTAAAAATCTTCAAACTTTGTGTGTTTGAGAGACATGCAAAACACTACTGCTGAAATATTGATGACACCAGAGTCCAGCAGCCTAATTTGGTCATTGAATTTTTATTTGTATGCTTAATGTAATTAGGCAAAATGGAGATAAATGTCTTAATTTTAATATTCCTATTTCTTCTTCCTTCAGCACAAATGTCTTTCAAAAATGCCCTTTTAGAGGAGCAAGATATTTCTCCGGATGCAAACACAAATCTTCTCCAACAAACAGAAGACCAAAACCTTGATTCAACTCTAACTCATCTTGAACCACCTATCTATATGGAAGACTACATGTTTGATCTCACAGAAGAAGATGGCATCTCTGACCTTTTCCCTTGTAGCTATTCATTTGGTCTTTAGCCTTCGTACATTTTTTTTTTTTTTTTTTTTTTTTTTTCTTTCATAAAAACATCAAGTCACCTAATGCAGAAAATCTTTCTCCACTCTATGTGCAATTTGAAATTATCTTAAGACTAATATCACTGTGTACACTCCACCACCTTTTTTTTTTTTTTTTTTTTTTTTTTTTTTTTGTCTATTAAGTAGGTGTTTGTCAGGCTATAAATTTTGAGAGCAATGACCATTCTAATTTTAAAAGGTTAAGAAAAAGCATTTATTTTCAGTTAGCATTTAAATCGAGTTTTGATCTCCTTAAAGAATTGAGTTGCCACTAACATATTTTGACACGCGTGACATGCAGTGTTTTTCTGACTGCCAAAAACAAATATATCAATTTGGAAATTTTTAAAAATTCAATTTCATATTGACTTCATAAGTTTTCAGTTTTGTGTTTTCATTGGGAATTCATCCTTTTGGCTAGATTATAATATTTGGCTATGATTAATCAGATGACCAGAATTGTCTAATACACTTGCATAAAAAAAAAATTTATGAAAATATTTTTCCCCTTTTGGGCACTTACATTCAATTTCTCTTTTCATCTATTCATGTTGTCCTTAAATTTAACATTCTGATTTGGGATAGACTCAAAGTTGCATCTTCTCAAATATTGATTTGCCTAGTGTTGGTTTTTCTTCTAGTTCAAGTGGTATAATAGAATTTGGTGGCATCCATCAATGGTTGGTTTTTTGTTTTTTAAAATAACAGCATTTGTTAGAATTCTCTTCTGAATCTTGAAACATTAAAACCTTCGATAGTTATTAAAGATTGGTACTTTTTTTTTTCCTCTTGATATTTTTCAGTGTCTTAAAGAAAATGCAGAAAAATTTAACTGATGCTTTTCAGTCAGTTGTCATTTTAAGTTGCTGCAACTTTTCTAATTGCTTGTCATGTGAGGGACAAGGATATTTGGTATAAGAGCTTGAAGCTTTCAGAACATGAATGTTAAATGCAACAGTTTTTTTTTTTTTTACTTGCATTCTGTTCATAAAATCTTTGTGCACTATCACCAGTGTTAATGGATTTTTATTTTCTTCCTCTTCAGAAAATAATACATTAGGTGATGTTTCTCCTAACTCCATTTCAATTTTACTGATTTGTTCCATAACTGCCCCTTCTGGATCTTTCTTTCCAAATTGTTCGATTAAATCCAGTCAAAAATATTTGCTGGGTTGATGAGGCAAAATTAACTTTTAGTTTGAAAATTTCACTCAACACGAGTGACTGGATTTGCCTACTTCCCCATGATGATAGATTGTGCATTTATACATGCAGGCAGAAATTATCCCATTTCTTCAGTACATTTTAGATCTCAGACATCAGGGATTAACTCTGATTGTGTCTTTTAAGTGTGATAGGAAAGGTGCTGACTGGAGTGCATCTTTTTTTCAGACTTCAATAAGTTTTGTGCTTTCATATAAGGGAGCTATTGATTCCTTTCCTTGCCTTCTCTGATTTCAAATCTTAGTATTTGTTACTTTTAGTTTTACAAATTGGATAAAATGTTATTGAGATATAGAATTTTGATTTCCCTGTCAGTAATATATTTATTTATATACTGATCAGTTTTTCAAATTTATTGCAAACTTAGTCTATTTTGAAGATTTTTCTTATTTTTTATTTATTTTCATTCTTCAGAATCTACTAAAAAGTCTCTTAAAAGTACTTTTCCTATTGATATCTTTTCAAGGCTTTTTTGTGGTGTAAACAATAATCCGTGATATTTTTAAGGTGTTATCCATGATAATTTGAATGAGTAATTGTTTGAAAATTCATTTATTGATTTAAATCATTTGAATGTTTCTTGGTTAAAGGCTAGTCTGTTGGGTTTTTTCTTTTACTGTTCTCTGGTGATTAAACCTTTTGGGATTTGTTTTTTGTCCTAAGAAAATTGCACTAGCTTATTTTACAGAAACATTTCTCTCCCCCCTATCATCTTTTATGAAAGTCAGATGAATTAGTAGTCTAAGGATTTTCATTGATCTTGCTCCTTTTTAGTTTGTTTGAAAAGTTGGTTGCCTTTTGCTGTGTAGTTGTCATGTCTTAAATAGTGTGTATATTGATTCTGGTCACAACTTCATGATTAGGTAAAAGTCTCCCCCCCCCCCCAATCTTTTGCTCCTTAAAAAAAAAAAAAATAGTTAAAAATGTTTATATTTGTCACTTATTAATCTCGACTGAAAACTGTCTTGTCTTTTAAAATGTCCCAAGTTGTATTTTTAGTTCTTTATGTGAAAAAAGGTTTTGTTGGCTTTTTTTGCGAAATATTTCTTTATTGCAATATTTTATAGTAATTTTTAATTAAGTTTTGAAGTTAACAAACCTTGAAATACTGAACTATATACATCTCGTACCTCTTTCATACAATTGCCTTCAAACATTGTCATTTTTAAAATGTCAAAATATAATTTAGATGCTTATGAAATCATTTGGTAAAAATATTGTTCATAAATAATTTTTAAGACTCGAAATTGCAAATATATTAAGAGTTTGAAATTAAGGAACATATCTCCATAAAAACAATACATTGTTTTAAATGTATTTAAGTTAAAAAAAAAAAAAAAACTTTCTATTCCAAAGGTGCCTTAATGAAAACTCTTACTTACCCAAAAAAAAAAAAAAAATTGTACATTACAATTCAAATCTACAGTTCTAAATTTTAGAACCTTGCATAAAGATGTGCATTGGTAGGGGTATGAACTTGACATGAAAAGCAGAAGTAAACAAAATGGTGGAGAAATAATACTCCTATGATTGTGATAATTTCATTCTGCCACTTGGTTGTCTTTTTCAAATCTAAGTGCAATTTATGTTAAGACTTTTTTTTTTTTTTTTTTTTTACATTAAACAGTATGTACCATGATATAATTTGGTAATGGATTGTCATGAACATATATGTTCACATGTTGCATACCGTCCAACTATACCTTTATTTTTTCATTAAAAGTCATCGATTTTAAAACAAAAAAAAATAATTTGCTCTTAGATTGTATTTAACCCATTTAAAAGTTAAATGTAATTTTGATCATGCTTTCAATCTTTGATGCAAGTGAATCTCTTTTTATTAAAAATGAAACTTTGAAAACATGCTCTCAAAAGTTGGAAGTGTCTTGGGTTAAAAATAAAGATCTATATTAAATTTTTCCTCTTGATGTTTTGCTCCAACTCATTAATTTTCCTGACTTTCAATAAAATTGGCATTTAAACAATGAATCACCTTGAGGTAACTTTCCTTAATCAAGAATCACTTTTTCTGATTCCTCAAATGGTCACTTATGAAGCAAGTTTGAAGTGTTTCTACATAAAAATAGTCTTCCTAATGTAAATATATTTCATGTTACCAAAAAATAATTGTGCTCATTCAGAATATGAGTTGGCAAAGATTTCTAGAAAGTCTGAAAAATTCTTAATGGTGGCATAATTTCCACTTTGTCATAGGGCATAAACAATTCCTGCCTATTGCTTTTTGAAATTGACATATTAGTGTCTTAAATTTCTTACCACAATATAACTGTTGCCTCCTGAATTGGGCAATCAAAACCTGCAACTTATTTGGTAAATTACTTGTGGAACCAGGGTTTTTTTTGTTTTTTTTTGTACAGTATTTTTATTTAATAAAATCATTTATTTTAAAGATTGTTTTGTTGTTACAAGTCTTTGATGCTATAAGTTGATGTAACCTACTTTCTAAGCCAGGCATGGAACTCTGAACAGGTTACAAACAATCCAGTAACCTCAAAACCGACAACTGTCTACATATTATCAATGAAAAAAAGGCTTGCTAATTTAAATGAATTACTAAAACAAAACTTAGCATTTTTCTACTGCTTATGAAAATGAAGTATCAAATAATCCATTAACTCCCACCTTGATGATACAGTTAAAGAGCAGAATATTAGCATTGTACGCTCCAGCCTTCTTCAGGTGATTGAAATTTCAAACCGAAATTGAACTCAACTCTTTTGGGTCTAGTCACTGGATCTAACCAACATCAAGAGTTGTGAGTTCAATTCCAAGCCACAGCAGTGGTGAACCAAAACTTGAGTTAAAGGTAATTAACTGAAACGTGAAACTAAAACAATCTACCCTGGTAGATGAAAAGAAGGGTTTGATTTGAAATTCCAATCACCTGAAGAAGGCTGGAGTGTGTAACATGAAATATTGTGAATATGGCAATGAGGATAACAGTCCAAATAATAATACCTCCTCTCAGAGATATAGACAGATACAGAATATTTGAGCCAGCTTTGATTTTAAAAAAAAAAAAAAAAACACAGGCTTATAACTTGATAGATATGACACTGAATTAATGCTTCATCTTATTGTAGCAATCAGTTACATTAAGATTTTAAAATTTAGTTTAACCCTTTAACAATTTTTGAATAATTTAATTTACACATACTTTCCTCCTGTGCAAAGAGCATGAACTATAGCACATTTTCTTACCAATGAGAAAGCTTAAACATCCCATTTGCATCAATTTGAATAAGTAAGATTAAATGAAATGTTTGTCACAAAAATTATTTAGCTAAGACTTAATGTGAATTAAGTTGGAATAAACATTTTCTATGCTTCAACTCAAAAGATGCAATTGGTGCTGTTGTCAATTAAAGTGAATAAAAACAAGTATGATAAATCAAACATCAAGAAAAATAATTAATTTTTTTTTTTTTTTTTTTTTTTAATCAAAATACTTCTCAGCAGATTCACAATTTTCTCCAGCAGCAGCAGTAATTTGATTTTTATTTTCCACAACAATAAAATCTGCTTTTTTTTTTTTTTGAAGATGATCACTTGCAGATACACACAACTTACTCCACTTATATCATGTGGTTCACGGCCATTATCATAAAATCTTCATACTGCATTGAAACCCGCCCAGACATCATTGGGTCCCTTTGTTTAAAGGCACTGGTCAGCAGGCGAAGCAGCACACAAGACTGAACAAAATTGCCAATCGTCAGAGAACGTTGTCCATCGCTGTCAAATTTGCAAGTTATTATATTTACCAAATTGGGTGACAAGTTAAAACCCATTTGTTGATAAGCTGAAATAAATTAAAACATCATTAGCACATTTCATTCTACTGAAATCTTCACTCATACAAACCTCAATACTTAAAAATTTAATAGGAGTTAAATATTCGAAACTTGTCAAATATTCTTATAGTGTTCTCACACACACTTAGCTGCTCTTTCAAGTAAAAAAAAAAAATTTCGTTGTCTCTTCATCTTCAGAGATGAAAGTCACCTAATACAAGTTGGCGTCAATAAACTGATAGCTGGGGTCCAAAATCTCTATCCGCAGTTTAGATCAAAAGTGAGCCGTGATGTCAAGACTGCCAGCTTAGACCGCCAAAACAAAATCCATGGAGTTATCCGCAAAAATGGGTAACATGCTAAGCATGCAAAATGTGTATTTAATATGAAGAGTTTTGAAAACTGAATAACAATTGCAACATTAAAATGAATCTTATCAAGAAGCCATAATAAAAGTAAACAGTAAAGGAATTTCTATGCTTGTGGGTTGATTAGAAATCAAATTCATAAGAGGGTCAATGGTCTAAAATATTTAGGGCAGCATTTCTCAAATTTTTTTTTTTACTTCAGGGTACATGTGTACATTAACTTAAAACTCTGGAGTGCACTTTAATTTTTAATAAGGAAAAATTAACGTTTTTACGTAACTTTTATATTTCTAAAATTTTTTTTTTTTTTTAATACAAATTTTTTTTTTTTCTATCTGCCAGCCACAATGATGAAGAGTTGAATATTGACAGTTTTCAAAAACATTTATTAAAACTATCCTTTAATTTCACATAAAATCTGCACCAATGTGAATAAATTTGAAAGATGACAGCCTAATATGATACCAATTATAAAGCGCCATGTCATCCGTCATCGATGGCGGAAATCTTGTTAACAAGAAAAAATAAAATTAATTTTTATAGTTATTAAGATTTTGAATAAAAAAATTACAATACATTGTATTGTAATGTATTAATAAAAATAATAACAATACAATGTAGTAACATCTACGTACAAGCACAGGTTTCTATGCAATATAATGATACAATACAAAACAACATTTTTAATAAATTTACATGTACGTAATGTAAAATAAAAATAAAGTTCGTAATAACACTTTGCATATTCCACACTCAAAATGTCCACAAAGTGCTAATCCAAACCATTACACAATTGTGAGTGTAAAATGCCAAAACCTAAACAGGATCAAATGCCTGGGAAAATGGATGTCCTGAAGGTATTAAAACTTAATTTAATGAATTTATTAAAATAAAAGATTATACAGAAAAAAAAAAATAAATAAATAATCAGACTTTACATAGTGGCACAATCAAGTTTGAATTTGTTTCAAATTGGGATCCACTGATGATTATGATTTGAATATAAACATGACGAAAGATTTTGGGGTACATCGTGCATGTGTGGTTTAAGCGACATCATAGGTTATTGGTGCACAGCTTAATGGCATGTATTCCCTCATAGTTGGGGGAGAAAATTAATACTTACCATTTTGTAACTCATTTTGACCAAGTTTCCCTGAGCCTCGGTCATATTGATCGAATATAGCACGCCATTCTTGGATGAACTTCCAAAGTTGTTGAAATTCTTGCAGATCAATTGTGCCACTTTGGTCTTTGTCAAACATATCTGTAAATAAACATTTCAATTGGCACCATAAACTTTCCAGAAACACTATTTGCAGCAACCATATCAAATCTTATTTCCATTCCTAATATATCTATAAACAATCACACTTGTTAGCTAAAAATCAAAGCAATATTACATATCTCTTCTCTCCAAATGTAAAATCTCACCTTAGATAACAGATTACCATGTTTGGAAAGTAACATTGTTTTCCAAATAGAACTATTTATTCTGCTTACACTAGCCGAAAATATCTTATTTCTTTTCAACATACACCATGATCACAAACTTCACAGCCTAATTACTACCTTTTCTTACATTTATTTGACTAGCATCAGAGACTATCATGCTAGACTAGAACACTCATTGTAAGTCAACAAACCCAACTACTGCTGCAATGAACCAGTCACATGATGTGCATTTTAAGAAACTTCTGTGCTGAGGCTTTTTCCAACAATTCATAGTAAATCAGTTCTATTTTCTAGATGAAATTTGCTTATCTCTACTGCAATCCCTTTTGTCCAAATTGGTCAATCACTGCTTTTTACTTTGCTTAATATACATCACACATTTCTCCTCACCTCTAACAATCCAGTAAACAAAACCAAAATTCTGTACACATGTATAACACATCTAGTTATTAATTAGTATTGCCCTATTACTGCTAGCACAAAGTCACAAGTCATTGTGGTTGAGAGTTTGAGTGTGTTTCAAATTGTTGGTCATGCTAGATAACATGCTCTTTTCCAGAACCTGTAACTAAGGTCTGCTCAGCATAGTTGCAGTATAAACCACAGTTGGGCTCTGTGGGTGTTGAACAAAACACAAATGTGCCTGAGCAAGCGTCTGCAATAGGGATTGGTTAGCTGCCCTAGTCAACAGGTATCCTTGAATACGAGTGGTCAGCTATATATTTCCACTGACTCCAAGTGCACACTGCTCAATTATTGTTAGCAAATTCACAAATCAATACTTTAATCCACTAGGCTGATGTCTCACGCACACCTGGAGCTATGAACCTAACCTGCCTGTTAATGAGTGCTATTGAAGCCTTGCTTTCACCTTATTATTGGCTCTCATATCATATTTATTTATACACTAAGCCTATTAAATCTAGTATATGTGCTGATTCTTTCAGATGTCTGACCCTCCAGTGTTCCTTTTCAGTAATTTTACTACTTCATTCCACAGGAGTGATGGCTACACTTTTCTCTCCATACATGATCAACCATTCCTGATTTCATTGTCATTGAAAAGTTATAATCAGGAGTGTGGCAATGTTTCTCCAGCCTTATTGGGGAGGGGGGCTGCTAGTTTCACCTTTATATTCTTTGCCACAACAGTAAGGAATGGGGTACACACAGTTCTTAGACATGTTCTCTGCCTTAGGCTTGACTCAACAGAGATTCCTTCGTAGGATGGAGCTGCTTCTGAATATTGTCCTGAACTTGTATGGACTGGAGATTAAACATTACCAAACAAACTAGAAATGTTGTACACAAATAACACCCTAAACTAAATCTCCATCATTTGATCATGGTCATTTATTTCATTTGGTTTGTCTTTCAACAACCTAATACAATGCCATGCTTATTTCACAACTGAACAATACTCATCAATCTAAAAATTTTAATTCAATTTTTAACACTCAATCATTGATATTATCTTCATCAATCATAACACTTGCTAAATTTTATTCGACTCTCAATCAACATTACACTAATTTTTATTACAGAATTATTATCTAATGCAAGAAAACTCATTTCATTCTAACCCTACTTCCATCTTGAAAAACAAAAGTCTAAACTATTAATTATTTATTTAAGTCTAACTATTAATTATTCAGACTATTGTTATCATCTTTGTCGCCATGTTTATCACATTTCGGCCGTTGTACGCTCTGACCTTCTTCAGGTGGTTGGAATGTCGAACTGACCCCTTTATTTTGCTCACTGGGGTAGACTGTTCTAGTTCCACATGCCATGTCTAATGGATGTCAGTTATCTCTTGTTAATTCCTCTCTGAAAGTTCTCCACTGCCTTAACCAGGTATTGAACTCACTCTCTTTGGGTCCTGTCACTGGATCTAACTAGCACCTTTATCCACTGTGCCATGTGTACTTGAGGCAACAAAGAGGAGGACAATAGTCCAAATAATGTAAATAGTATACATAATACCTCATCTCAGAAATATAGACAGATACAAAAGTTTAAACTTTGTTTACTTTCAGCTTTTTGTCAAGTAATAAACTAAACATTTTTAAAATTAAGCATATTGCTGGGCTTGCTCAATTGCTAAAGTAGACACACTAATGTAAGAATAAAAAACAAGATTTTCAAAATACAACTATCTTTAAATTCTCTACAATTTAAAATATAGTATAAGAGAACTATTTTAGTGCATCAACAGAGCGAAAAACACACACACAAGGAAACCACACACGACTGATGCCGTTTCTACATTAGTTTTATAATCTTAAGACAACAATTTAAATGCTGCATATTCCAATGCAATGTAAATATTATTCAATTTTACAACAATCAGGAAATATTTTCACTCATAGTTAAAATAATTGAGAATCAGTATGAAAAAAAATATTCTTTTCCATTAAAAATGATATAGATAAATTAACGAAAAAAATATATAAAAAGTGCAATACTTACTGATCATCAGGCGAACAGTTTCATTATTGAAATGTTTCCAGTCAGCATTAAATAAAGCCTGCTGCAATTCTTTCGCAGTGATCTTTCCTGATTGATCAAGATCAACACTCTTGAACCAGTTATAAACTTGGGGATCAATACCAGCTGGTGGGCCATACATAGCTGAAGAAACAATGTACATGGAAAGTATTAGTCATTCACTTCTGCAACATTGTGATCACTCTTAGCAGATTCAACTGATACTTCCAAAGATCTTTGGAAAAATTCAATCCGGAATGAATACAATTTCTTCAGATATGCTTTATTTGTCTCTAACAATTTAAAAAAGATATTATCTGAATGAATAGATTAAATTCTACACCTCATTTACAAATTTAAAAAATAGTTTCAACCTAAATATAACTTTTAAAAAAGAAAAGAATCTAGATTAGGAAACAAGTTGGCTTTAAATAATCTTTACTACAAGTTTGGTTTAATTTAGTTTCTTTTGTTTTACAGCAAATGAACCTCAATGGGTCATTTAATGCTGACAACTTTTTTTTTCTGGTAATATTTTTGCTTTGTCAAAAATCTATTTGTTAATATTTTTTTCCTCAAAAATGTATAGCTGGTAATGTTATTTTTCCAAAAATGTATAGCTGGTAATATTTTTTTTCTTCAAAAATTTATTTCTGGTAATAATTTTTTACAAAGTATTTCTGGTATTAAAACTTATTTTTACACTTTTATAATTTTTTTTGTTTCTGTGTTAACTATTTGCCCATAGCTGGGACCCTAACAGGTGCTACCCCCACCGGTCAGGCTGGACCTGGTAATACCAGCAATTGAGGAGGTTCCACGCTCCTCAAAACCTCCTGCTCAGAGGTCTTGCTGTTGGATGTAGTTTATCGTCTTACCCTGGACACGGATGTAGTTTATTGTCATACCCAGTACGCCCCATTGGGTGGGAGTCTTACCCCTCTCCAGAGGTGCAGTCAGCATATTCTACAGCCCCAGCCAACAGGGCTGTTGGTTTGACTGGGCTTTACGGCATATCAACCTCAATGGGTTATTTAATGCTGACAAAACTTTTATTGCTGGTAATATTTTTCCTTCAAAAATCTATTGCAGGTAATATTTTCTCCAAAAATGTATTGCTGGTGATTTTTTTTTTTTTTAAAAAAACCCAAAAAAACAAAAACAAAAAAAAACTACAGGTTTGATTCTTGGGCTTTATCTTGTATCACAAGATAATAACTTTTAAAACTTTATTTCCAATAGAAATGTTTGTTTATTAGTAAATTTATGCTAAGTATATGAGCAGAGACTTAAAATGTTCACATTAATATTTCTTAAATTAATTTTTAAAGCTTATCTTCTAGAATATTTTTTTAAGAATTTTTTATATTTAAATTGATGAATGAATATTTTGAGATTTATTTCAAATGAAGAGATCAAATTTCAAATTGTGGTTTCAATTAGCAAATTAATATCTGGTCTTAGAATTTATTTAAACTTCTAAATGTTAATTCAAAGAGATGGTGTCAAATTTCACCAAAAGGTTAGATAATAGTACATGAGAGCATCAAGGAAAAGTGTAGCATAAAAGTACCTCCACTAATTTGGTATATCTAAGGATTAAAATGAATTTTTAAAAATGAAAAAGCTTTCATTTTAGCTTTAATTAAAGCTAAAGGATTTAAAATTTGCTATTTCCAGTAAGCAAAATACTCTATGGTGTATTTCAAACATAATTATATTGATCGGAACTGATTTTTTTTTTTTCAGTAAAATCGATTAGAACAGCCATTTTTGACACATTTGTAAACAAAAGATAGTTCTCAGTTTTAAAAATATTGCAAAAGTAAAATATATATTTTTGAAATGTTATTTGAGGAAATTTAGCAAATCTAAAGTTAAATTAATCTGATTTGAAACAAATATTACTTATAGAATAAAACAAATTTTGAAAATTTTTCTTTTCTTCAGATATCTTTAATAAAAGCAATTAAAAGCTTTTCTAATTAAATAATGCCTTAGTTTTATTGCATTTTTTATTTTTCAATTCAGAACAGATTTTTGGTAAGACAGGGTCCAATTTTGTAAAAAAAAGAAAAAAAAAAAAAAAGAAAGAAATTCAGTGATTTAAATTCTGCTTTTAACTAATATAGTCACTAAAAATTATCATATTGAATTTCTCAAGTTTTCATAAAATTAAGAAGATGAAATATATGTAAAACAAAAAAAACATTTTTACCAAAATTTGCTAATAAAAAAAAAAAAATTTCATTCATTTGTGAATAAGTCCTGAAAATTTCATTAAAATCCAACAATTATTTGATTTTTACAACAATTTCCATATTAATGTGTCTGTCACTACAAAAAAGGGGCTAAAATTTGCTATAATTTTGTAGAACTGCTGACACAAGAACAAGATTTTTAATAAAAATTTCCGAATGTTCGAAAAAGGGGTAAAATAAATATAATTAAAATCAAAAATACTTTCATCCTTCCTCTTAATAATGGCATAACGATTTTGACAATAAAACTATGTTTTCATTATGGAGCATGTTTTCATCACAGTATGCTGATTTTTAGTGTTTTCTTGGATGTACATACATAAAAGGAGTTGATCTTAGCCACTAGTTTATTTAAGAAACAAGCAACTTTATGCAGCTCACACATTCAAAAATTGCTTTCTGTTTGCATCAGCAAGAAAAGTAGTGTCATTAGTTCTGCAAGAATTGAACAAATTCTCAGACCATTTCAAAATATGAAATGCTAATATTCAATATGCCATTTTTTTAATTCTTTAAGTCTCTAGCAGATTCATTCAAAAGAGGTTGCCATAAGTCAATTCAGGATACAAAAAAAATACTGTATTTCCATGTGTGACTTGTTAAAAGGTAATGAGAATGTTTACTTTGAAAAAAACTGATAGTGACGAGAAGTGGATACTTTATAGCAATAGAGAATGCAAGAATATTATTCTAGTTTTTATAAAAAACATAACTTTTATTTAAACATTTTGACGAAATCACCTTGAATTATTTTACATGGAAATGCTCTTATTAATTTTCATGCTCAGTTTTATTAAAGTTTAATTTAAAATTTGTGTTCTATGCATTATTAACTTTCTATATAAAGAAGATTAACATATTTCAAATATTCAAAATCAAAAATCTTTTTTAAATATTTTCATTTACAATTACCTGCCTCACATCATGATTAATATTGTTTGTTATTCTTTAAATTCTCCCTTGTATTTTCAATTTAGCTAATGATAAGCAGGAATTAACATATTTTTTGACTGAAGAATTCTTTGTTTATTAAAACAAAATTAGTTCTTACAATTGGATATCAATGTTTTTTGTATTTAAAGATAAATAACCTGTGGGAATTACACCCACTTAATGTCCATTAACTGGCACTGTGTAAGAACTGCAAAAGAAGGAACACACTCTTCTTTCTCCTTTTTTTTTTTGGCTCCAAGATGTAGCAGTGTTGATCTGCTTCTTATCCCCGCAGGAGATAAATATCCCCCCTTCCCCATCCACACACTGACTGACAATCCTTGAAATCTTCATTTTTCATTCAGATTTCATTTTCTAGTTTAAAAAGAAGCTCTATTTGTGTGTGTGTGTGTGCTCCATTTTTTAAAAACCTGCCATAATTAGTGAAAAGTGAAAAACTTTTCATTTAAAGAAATTACTTGCTTTTAGAATAAACAGGATCTATGTTATAAAGGAAGAGCTGTTTCCCCATCCATCATGTACTGTCTGCACGTGATTTTGCATGCATGTAGTGTAGCATATACGTGTACTGTGTGTATGAGTTACTTACATATGTTTGTACCATTTAATATACACATGCACACAATCTGACTGAGTGTGGAATGATACATTCCCCTCCCACTCAGTCTGGACAACCTTTAAAGAATAAAATCATAAAATTTGAGACAAAAAATAAAAACTTATCAACAGCTAATGTTTGTCAAGCTGTTTCTTTGCTTAAATATGTGTATAGCTGTGAAATAAAAAAGAATAACCGGCTTTTCTTTCTCTTACCTACAGTAAGAAAACTTTAGTATCTTATCAATAGCTAATTAACTTTGATATCAGTCTATTCATGTCTATCTATGAGTTTATTCTAATTGTATATTAAGATTAGTCTATTCATATCTATTTGTAGGTACCTAAAACTTGACAGCATAGAGATAGCCACAAATGGCTTCAGAAACATCATGCTCAGTTTATTACTTATAATAATAATAATAATAATATATACACCTCCAAAAATTTATTAAAAAAGAGGATACATGATGAAAAAAATGCCAAAAACAAAAAAATTTTCAATGCCAAAATTTTTGTTATTTTTTTATGTAATTTTTTTTTTAATCCTCTTTTGGAAAAATCATTTTTTGGTGTCAACATGGGACCATAAATTTGTACGGGAAATTTAAGCATATTTTGGCAGTGGAAAATGCATTGATTTGGAAATTCTTGCGAAAATCAGATAATTGTCAGATTTTAATGAAGCTTCAACTTATTCAGAAATTAATTATTCTTTTAAGCCTTTTTTAGAAAAAATTTGTAAGATTTAAAAAAAAATCTGTTAGCCCAATTCATTTAATTTTACGAAATTTTGAGAAAATTTTTTTTGTAGCATTTAATGTTTATATTAATTATAAGGATAAGTCCTTGGAGAATTTAAATTATCAATCTTTTTGAGCCAAACAGGACCTCCAGTTACAGAAAATCTGCTCTAAATTGTAAAATAGAAGTAAGACATTATTTAATTAGAAAAATTGCTAATTACTTTTATAAATATGTTATGGATACTATTAAAGCCTTAAGAAAAACTTTTTTTATGAATTTTTACAAGAATTGTTTTCATTTTTAAAACATTCTAATTAGGATAATTTATAAACTTTTAAAATTCTGTATTAATTTGTATCGGTCAAATGATATTGTTATTAAATTAAAACTGTATTCAATAATCATAAATCAAAAAAGCTTACTACAATTTAACAATCTTCCTTGGTGTTTTGAATTTATTTTGTGTGTATAAACGTGTGGGTTTTTGTAAATACAGGCAGCCATACATGACATCAGAAAATAAGAATAAATTTAAAATTTATTTTGAATTTTTCTAGCATTTCCTCAAAGTGTCTTTAAAGGAGAGACTATAAAGTCAAAGTACCTAAAATTCAATAAAATATTAAAATGCTTAAAACATTTTAAAGATTACTGGGAAGTTAAAAACAAAATTATATAAAAAGGTGTTTGCATTGTATTTGTCATGCAATTTTATTTCCATTATCTCCTCCTTACTTAAAATTTTCAAACATCAGGCTGTTGATAGATCTGTCAACACCTCATAAAAACATCCAACTCCATATTAAAAAATGCTTTTATGATATATTCAGATTAATTAAACTTTAAATAAGCTATTTTTTCTCAAATACTGTTTCAGGAAAGTATATTTTATTTTTGAAAGATTTTTTAATAAAGAGGATTATGTTGTGTTCACAGATTTGTCAATATGAACGATTTTATAGATCTTACTGATAAAAAAAATTCCAATCAATTTAAATTCAATTTGAAATACAGCAAAGTATTGCTTTTTGGGAATATTAAATTTAATCTATTAGCTTGGAATTAAAACTAAAATAAAAACTTCAAGAAAGATTCTTAATTTTTAAAATGCATTTTAAATCTTAGATATCACTTTTGGGGATGGTATCCACAATAAAATAAATTTAGGTTAAATTTATTTTTTAAAATTAATAGCCACAAAAGTAAATTATGGTAAAAATGGAATGTGAGAAAAAAAAAAAAATATGGCTAATTTCTTAGCAAAAAATTTGTTAATTTTTTAAACCATAAAAAAATCAGATAATTATAAAATTTTATTATACTTGTCATAAATTATTCAGTAATTATTTAAAAAAAAATTATTTTTAATTCCATAGAAATATTTTTAGCTGTGATATTGACTTAAAATATACATATACACATGCAAACCTAGCACACACAATTTAGATGAAAGTAAAATGAACATCTATGTCCTAAGGCTAACCTCTGGTCAACAGGAAAAGAGTGTGTCCCTTTGAGGTCATTTTTGACTTTTTCTATATTTAAACTGAATGTATTTTCTAATAAATGTTTTATTTTAAATGGGGAAACAATTTATATTTGAAATTTGTTTATCCTGCCATTGGTGAAGTGACTCAGTCAGTTATGTGCCATACATGATACACACTTAGGCGATCATGTATCTTTTGATACATGACTGATGAGGCAGATTTTATCCCACAGTAGGCTGCCATTTCTTTCTGCGGTAGACCAGCTGCTATCCAAGGCTATAGAACCCAGTCTATCCTGCTATTTACCCATAGCTGGGGAGAGAAGAATAGGATTATTTTTATAGGATTCATACCTTTTCCAAGGGTATTAGCATGTGAGTGAGTGTAATGGATTCAACTGGAATTTGAACTTGATTCTCCAGTTCCTCAATCTGAGCCACTATCTGTGCTTCCTCTGAAGTGACTAGTTTTAATTAAAAATGTTGTATCATCCCAAAAAACCTACCCAGTCATAGCACACTATGTTCTATTGTTAATCTTGAACCCTGATGTATATGATAGATAATGAGATGCTTAAACTAGGACAGGGCAAAATGCACAGAAACATTGTGCTGAAAATAATTTTATAATAGAGTTTTTTTTCTGTTGCTATTCACAATATGTGTTTGTATTTTCAGATTATGAAAAATTAATTTTTTGCCATATTTTGGATCTCTGTTTTTTTTTGGATCTGTTTCTTTAAGTTTTTAATTTTGGATCTCTGATTTCTTTAATTTTTGGATCTCTGAATATAAGTTCTTTAATTTTGGATCTTGTTCTTTAATTTTCTCTGAGATTTCTTTATTTTGGATCTCTGAATATAAGTTCTTTAATTTTGGATCTCTGATTAAGTTCTTTAATTTTGGATCTTTATAAGTTCTTTAATTTTGGATCTCTGAAGTATAAGTTCTTTAATTTTGGATCTCTGAAGTATAAGTTCTTTAAGTTCTTTAATTTTGGATCTCTGAAGTATAAGTTCTTTAATTTTGGATCTCTGAAGTATAAGTTCTTTAATTTTGGATCTCTGAAGTATAAGTTCTTTAATTTTGGATCTCTGAAGTATAAGTTCTTTAATTTTGGATCTCTGAAGTATAAGTTCTTTAATTTTGGATCTCTGAAGTATAAGTTCTTTAATTTGGATCTCTGAAGTATAAGTTCTTTAATTTTGGATCTCTGAAGTATAAGTTCTTTAATTTTGGATCTCTTTAAGTTCTTTAATTTTGGATCTCTGAAGTATAAGTTCTTTAATTTTGGATCTCTGAAGTATAAGTTCTTTAATTTTTAATTTTGGATCTCTGAAGTTCTTTAATTTTGGATCTCTGAAGTTAAGTTCTTTAATTTTGGATCTCTGAAGTATAAGTTCTTTAATTTTGGATCTCTGAAGTATAAGTTCTTTAATTTTGGATCTCTGAAGTATAAGTTCTTTAATTTTGGATCTCTGAAGTATAAGTTCTTTAATTTTGGATCTCTGAGTTCTTTAATTTTGGATCTCTGAAGTATAAGTTCTTTAATTTTGGATCTCTAAGTATAAGTTCTTTATTTTGGATCTCTGAAGTATTTGTATCTTTTAATTTTCTTTAATTTTGGATCTCTGAAGTATAAGTTCTTTAATTTTGGATCTCTGAAGTATAAGTTCTTTAATTTTGGATCTCTGAAGTATAAGTTCTTTAATTTTGGATCTCTGAAGTATAAGTTCTTTAATTTTGGATCTCTGAAGTATAAGTTCTTTAATTTTGGATCTCTGAAGTATAAGTTCTTTTAATTTTGGATCTCTGATCTCTGAAGTATAAGTTCTTTAATTTTGGATCTCTGAAGTATAAGTTCTTTAATTTTGGATCGCTGAAGTATAAGTTCTTTAATTTTGGATCGCTGAAGTATAAGTTCTTTAATTTTGGATCTCTGATTAAAATTTTGGAAAGATTTTTGGAAAAGGAGGATAAGTTCTTTAATTTTGGATCAATATAAGTTCTTTAATTTTGGATCGCTGAAGTATAAGTTCTTTAATTTGGGGTTCCCATTAAAATAAAGATTAAAAGAGGATAATTCACAGTCAATACCTTTATGCAAAAGATAGCACATAATATTCTTTCATCATCAGTTAATATTAGCAAACATACATTTTTTTTTTTATTCAGAATTGTTTTGTACACTTACATTGAATAGGAGGTTGTCCTGGATAACCAGGAATCATGTTTGCTTGGTTATAAAGCATCTGATCATATGGTGGTTGCCCTTGAGGTGGGGCATATGCCATCTGATATTGTTGAGGTGGAACCTGGCCCATCTGACCAGGCATAGTTGGATACTGTTGCCCAGGTATTCCTTGTGGGTTGTATGTACCCAGAGGATGGCCCTGGAAAATAAGAACATAGGTCTCAAAAAAATTTAAAAAAAAAATAAAGTCATTTCTTTAAATAACAAAGAAAAATAACTTCATGCAGTTATATCAGCTTCTATTCTGTTCAAATGAAAAAGGAGATTTTTATAAGCATAACTTTATCATTGATATTTTCTTTTACTTTGTCTGATGAAAAATCTGCAATTAATAATAAAACTTCAGTTCATCAAGTAAACCAAAAATTTGCAAGTGTCATGTTTTAACAGACTTGCTAGTTCCCTTACAAAAAGATAGGTACCATATAAAATATAAATTCATTTTTTTTTCATTATTTTGTTCTATGTCACTAAAGAGTTTTTAATCATACAACAAAATTGTAAACAGTGGCTTCTGAATCTTGCAAATAACTATCTTGGAAATATTATTGTGGCTGTGATGTATTTACATTCGTATATTTCTGGCCATTTTATGTGTGCATCTGCAATACATGTTGTCAATTGGACCAAACAAGATGTCACCTAGACTAAGTTTGTATTTGGTGGTACTATGGCACATTTTTGGCAGTATTTTACTAAATTTTCAATCTCTTGGTCCTTGCTTAGCCAGTCTATGTATGCTCTCATTGCCACTGATATCACAAACTAGTCTACATAGGTGGGAAAATGAAATAAAATTGATAAATAAAATAATAATGATGAATAATAAAAAATGAAAAAGAAATACATTTTCCCATATTATTACCCCCCCTCCCTCTTGATTATGTGAAATGCCGTCAGGGGGCAGTGGCATTGTTGAAGTCTATAAAAAGACAAACATTTTCCTGTCTCCCTCACTTTCACCTCTTTTCTAAGTTGTAGAATCACATTATAATTATGTCCTCACTGGGGAATGTTAATTTCCCTGGTCCAATGACAACTAAACACTATTTTCACTTTCCAATGGATGGTGCTTGCAGGTGTCTTTCAAAAACCTCCACTTATGAAACAAGTCAAGCTTTCTCTTTGTTCGTTCCAACTCAGTGCAAGACTAACTCGAGCGTGACCATTGTAATGGTGATTATACTTACCATCACTTCTGGACAAGGAAAAAGAAAACAGACAACACATAACCATGTTTAAACCTTCCAATGATAAAATAAGTACAAACCTTCTTTTGATTGTTCCAACTCTGTGGAAGCTAAACCTTCAAATCAAATTCAAAAACAAGCTTCAAATTCAGTTTTGGGAAAAACTGGCAAAAAAGCCACATCAAAAATGGTCAAACACAAATTCTGTCACTTTCAAAATTGGCTTTGAAACCCACAGAAAATATATTAGTTTCTGACACCAAAGCCTCAATTTGTTTTTAGTTTGACACAGCTTGAGATATTAAACTGATCTCATGATCCATGTGGGAACAAATTGGCCAACCTGAGTTTTTGAAAACAAATCACATCGCCCAGAGTGCATTTGATAACGAAAACTAATTTCAGTGATGATTTTTCAGAGAATTTTGGTTGCTGTACAAAGGTTAAAACCATCCTAAAGTTAAAACCAGATGTTGACATAGGAGGAAAAGAATTGGATTGCCTTCAGCAAGCTGGAGTAATACAGCCAACAAATTACTCTGCATGGGTAGGTCCCATTTTCATTGCCAAGGCAACAAATGGAAAAAAAGTTTGTATATGTGCAGATTATTCTGAGTTAAATAACTCAGTAATTTCACAGCAAATATCCATTACCAATATCAGAAAACCTTTTTGCAAAGATAAATGGTAAACTTGTTTTGTTAAATTTGACATTTCAGATGCTTTCCTACAAATGGAAGTTGATGAAAACTCCAAAGAGCTCGTTACAATCAATACCCATAAGGGTTTATTTAGATACAATTGTTTTCCTTTTGGGTGTCAAATCATCACCAGCCACCATATTTCAGTAAATGATGGATGCCATGTTGACAGGATCTGTTGCATTCATTGATGACATAATTGTTACAGATGCAACCCAGGACAAAACTTCTGAAATGTCTAGTTTCTGTTTCTGAATGGATTCAGCAATATGGTTTTCAGTTGAGAGCGGAAAAATGTCAATTTTTCCAGACATCAACCAAGTACATTGAGCTTATTTTTGACCAGACTTGTCAATGGCCAAACCCAGAAAATATTTCTGCCATCAAAACCAAGGCAGCACAATACTTTGACATTAGAGTTTTTTCTATGCTTGGTAAGCCATTACAGTTCTTTTTGCCAGAACTCCACCATATTGAAACTCTCCTGAATTACTTTCTGAAAAAAGATGTTCCATGGAACTGGTCAACAGATTGCCAGCCTGCTTTTATGAAAATCTAATATTTACTTTCTTTGGACTTGTTTCTCACACACTATAATCCATCTTTTGACATCATTGTGGTTTCAGATGCTTCAGATGATGGTGTTGGAGTCATAATTTCCCACATTTTTCCTGACAGTAGTCAGAAGGCCATTGCTCATGTATCAAGGTCATTGACACTTGCTGAATGAAATTATGGTCAAATTGAGAAGAAAGCCTTGGCAATTGTCTTTGTCACAAAGAAATTTTATAAGATGCTTTATGGACATCATTTCAGCCTGGTCACAGACCATAAACCCGTGATTAGCATATTTGGATCTAAGAAAGGTATTGCTTTTTATACTGCCAATTGTTTACAATGATGGGTCACCATGCTCTTGGATTATGATTTCACAATCAAGTACTGCTCAACAAATTCAATTGGTCATGCAGATGTCTTATCCAGACATGGATGCACACCACAAACCACTAGGGGAAATTGCTTCAGTGCTCACAACCACTGTAAGAGTACTGTCACTCACTTCCTAATTGGCTCAGGAAACCAGAGTTTCTAACCCACTGTTGCAGAAAATGATTTACTACTACCATATAAAATGGCCAGCTCCAACCTTTCTTCCATCGTCGACCTTCATTATCTGAAGTCAATGGCTGTATTCTTTTTGGGGAACATGTAATTGTTCCATTGACCTTACAAAACAGAGTCCTTAATTTAAATTTGGAGATCAGGGCATTAATCACATGAAGGCCTTGACCTGCAGCTATGTTTATTAGCTAAACATGGACAAACAGCTAGAAGACCTTGTTCGTAATTGGTTAAAATGCCAGTGAGCAACTAAATCCCCCTCAGAAATCTACGCTTTTTTTCATGATTTGTCCTCGATTCCCCCTGGTCACAACTTCACATTGATTTTGCAGAACCCATCAATGGACAATTATTTCTTGTGCATGTTAATGCCAACAACAAATGGTCAGAAATTTTCCTCATGTGTCACATCACATCTGAGGAAACCATTCTGAAACTACAGCAAATCTTTAACAGATTTGGAGTATCAGAGACTTTCAACAATGCCTTCACTTCAGCAAAATTTTCAAATTTTTGCCAAACACAATAATATTCAATATGTACACATACCACCATTCCATTCACAATCAAATGGACAAGTAGAACATTTTATTGATACTCTTAAAACTCAAAGGGGAGGGAACTACAACAGAAATCCTAGAAACATTCCTAGCAAGTTACAGAGCCACACTAAACCCTAACACATCTAACAGTAGCTCACCCCCCCTAAAGCTCTGATGAACTGTAAAATTTGGTTACATGTGGACATCATATATTTAATAACACATTATTCACAAAAAAAGAAACACTGCAATGGAACACCAGTTCAATCACCATCATGGGGCAGTAAAACACATATTGTCAACACGTCTTAGCAAAAAATTGGAACAGCACTGAGAAGTGGGCGCAAGAACATATTGTGCATGGTGCCAGAAATTTCACCTATAATGTTGACATACAATCTTCTATCTGGGTTTGACATGCAAACTAACAATGACCTTCTCAATTATTCAAAAACTATTCAACAGGTTTCAGCTCTTCAATTGAACATTCTGTTTGAAACATTTGATTTACCCCAACAAAATTCACAAACTACACAGAACAGTGAATCTAAACCTCAAGGAATGAACACTAGGAAGTTAGTTTGTAATCAGCGTCCCGCCAACCATCTACAAGTGAAACCACAACAAAGTTATATCAATGCACAAATAAAAAGGGGAGGTGTTAGTGTCAACCATAATATATATATATATATATATATATATATATATATATAAATATATATATAAATGGGGAGTTATGTCCCTTAGGGATTTTGGAAACTTCATGGTTAGAAAGTTCATCAGAGCTTCTGCAAAAACATGGCGACTAGGTGATAACATGAATATAATGTATTGTTAAGATTTCTTTTACTTTTTCAATGAGTATGTGTTATTTCAGACTTTGCTAGTTCAGCCTTTTTCAGTGTATATGTGTGGCTCATTAGGGAGTGATTTATTCCAATAGAGAAATCTGCATAGGTTTCTTTTTTATTGTTAGTCTTCCTAACAATCAATATAGGTGCTATTGTGATTGTTAGGAAGACTAACAATAAAAAGAAACCTATACAGATTTCTTTATCAAACTAAATCAGTCCCTAATGAGCCACACATAAATACTGAAAAAGGCTAAGCTAGTGGGACTTCTAAAATAATAGCTACATTCTCAAGACTTTCTAATTCTGCACCTACATTCTCAAATGCAGAAAAATAGTTCTAATCTCTTTAGGTTAAATATTGATTTTTCACTCCTAACACTTAAAAGAAAGAAAAAAAAGCAGCAGTACTACTAAAGGCTCACTTAATCTTAATTTCATAGCAATTTTCTAACATATTGGGGAATGTAGTTTGGCCAGTACAATGTTTATTCTTACTTTCACAAATTTTCTGTACATTGAAATGCCTCTACCCATTAACAATACATTTATGTTAGGACTTGTCTATTCTAAAATATTATTGGACTTAATTCTTCTATTTTTCCACTGAGTTTGTTTATGGCCCACATTTATTCATATTATTGAAAGGACAAAATTTGGTATAAGGTGAAACTTATGCACAGTCTGTGTGGGGGTGAATGATATCATGGATATGTACCTCACAGTTGCAGGA